AGAAAGAAAGAAAGAAAGAAAGAAAGAAAGAAAGAAAGAAAGAAAGAGAATTTATCGATCTATTTCTTACAGCTTTTCCAAGCACAGAGGATACTTTCTCTAGGTGTGGAGGTGGAGAGACGAGTACTCTCAGTCTTAAAGCAAGTTAGTAATCACTGCTCTTGACTGGCCAGAGTAAAGTCACAGCTAAACCCTTTGCCACAAGGCCCATTTTGAAAGCCCATGCCTCACAACCATAGAAATGACTAGAGAGAAAGTCCCACCCCACTGGGGGGAATGAATCCTGCACAGCTCTCCCACAAAAAGATAGGAGTGGAGTAGAGTAGTGAAGTAGACTGGTCTGCACTCTCAGAATAAAACTAAGATGCCTTCCAGACCAAAAAATTAAGATGTTAGGAGAACTTTACAACAAGACCACAAAATATATTTGACACATTATAAATTATTATAAAACTATTATGCCAAAATAAAAATTATATTATACTTATATAGCTTTAAGATATATTTATTAAGTTTATTAAGCCTTCTGCCTGCAGAAGGCTACCTAGAGATATTTTCTTTCTAAAATATTTTCCCCTAATTCATATATTGACTGCAGTAAGAACATCCGGAATTGATGACCTCTGGATGTAGAGTAACAATAAAGTTAGTATTTATGTAGTGTTTTATAATTTGCAAAACACTGCATATGTTAACTCACTTTATCTTCATAACAACATTGTGAGATAAATGCTATTATTAGTCTTGTTTTATGACTGAGTAAATTGAGACAAGTTAAATGACTTTTCCAGTGTCGCACATACATAGGAAGAAGGTCACACAGCTAGATACACACACACACACACACACACACACACACACATCTGAAGCAGGATTCAAAAATCAGGTCTTCCTGATTCCAAATCCTGTGCTCTATGTTGTCACCAAACTGCCTCAATTCTATGAACCTATGAACTCAGAGTAAGACAAGACAATTAACAAAATATTCTAATATTACTTTTCCAATTTCTGCTCATCTTTGGAGAGACGAAGCTAGGAAAAATTATGGATTTGTAATTCCTTTTGGTTCTTATTCAAGGAGTTGCTACATAATGTTAGTAATGTCTTTCTAAATACTAGAAAATATAGAGAACTCTTGCCAGGTGATAACTACTCTTTCCAGGTATATATCCCAAACTAAATTCGCCTAGTAATTTTGGATATCTTTAATCTTAATCTCTATCTTAATGCAGTCTGCCGAAAACTCATCAGATAAAAAATATACTCTCTTACCTGTCATCACCCCATAGGTAGACTGTTGGTTTCCATAATGGCAGGAAGGAACGGAATAATGAAGGCTTGCTGATGTGTTTCCAAAAGTTGTCATGGAGAAATGCATGTGCGAAAATTTAGGAGTTTGGATCAAAGACAAAATAGACGGGACTGGTAAGAAAATGTATGAGGATTCAAGACATATTCTTTTCAACCCAGAAATAGATATATATATATATATATATATCTCATATGTATTTTTATGTTATATTATTTTTTAAAGTTAATTGCTAATCATTACTGATTTGGATGAAATTCTCTTGTAAATAACACAGAATAAGGTATTTCCATTTCTCAAAGATGATAATCAGTAAAAAGTCTTACTTGACTAGAACCTCACTGTAATGCCAAGTTATCCAGCAACCTTTTAGATGAAAGTGCCTCATAGAGAGATTTCTGGGGTTCTTTGATAACTAGATCCCCTAAAATATGTACTCTGAATTGAAACATGTAGTAAACTTCATTTAGCAAGGAAAAGTCATAAACCAATCTTTCTTTCTATTAAATTGAATGGTAATTAAAATGTCCTACAATAAAAAAAAAGTGAACTGGATTTCTGGGCCTTTTTACAAAATTTTCCTATAAAAGTAATTTAGTAAACTAACTCAACATGTACAACTTATACTAGGAAAAAACAAACAGACAAAAAACCCAAACAAACAAGAACCAAAAGCCTGATGTTAAAATTTAAAAAAAACAAAACCAAAACAAAACTCCATTAAGGTTAATTTATTAGACACAGTGGTATATGGAGTATTTACACTTATAATTTGCTTATAATCTTCATACCCACACAACTGACCAATTATACCATTCTGGTTATAAAGTCTTCCAAAATTTATTCAAGGTAGTCCCAAAATGTCTTGAGTAGCTTGGCCTTGATAGTTGAAGCAGCTACTTGGATAGATATTGCTTCATTCAAAATCAATAATAGGTTCCTATGACTTGAATATGCAACTTGAGAACTTTATCGTATTTGCCAAAGTCAAAGTTATACAGTGGTTAGGAAGCTAGCTTCAGAGTCAAGAAGAACCAGCTTCAAGTCCCATCTCTGACAAATACTGGCTGGGTATTGGCCAAGTTCCTTTCCTTTTCAGCATCCCAGGTAACTCTCTAAGTCCATAAAGTATAGAAAATGCATGGATCTGCATTGGTAGAAGGGATTTTCTTCTTGGGAACCCCTAGAACAATGAAATCCCAATTCCAATCTATCATGCTTGACACATTAACAAAATTCTTATCAAATTTTGGAAGACCAGAAACCATCATAAGAAGGAATACAGAATGTTGTAGGTTAATGTATCTGTTGCTATAATTTTGATATTATTTATTTGTCATTATTTACATGCTGATTGTGGTGCTAGATTTCCCTTAATATAACGATACTAAAATCTTTTTTTAAAAAAATTAAAAATGTGAAAGATAATACAAAGTTTAAAATTAAGAAAATTCAAACTGAGGTCAAGTTTAGGGATTTAAAAATTAGCTAAGAACATTCTTCCTCTCTTTTCACCTAAAATTAAATGTCTTCTCCTAAATATCTGAATTTAAAAAAAATCACAGCATAGATGAGTTCTCCCTTTTCAACTAATATATAGAATCTAACTCATTTTAAAATAATGTTTGACAAATTTAAATTCCTTACTATGGCCTAGGAAAATATGTAATTAAACACACATACACACAAAATTTGATGCCTAAATATTTTGTTGTCGATAATGGCCAATTACAAAGCTTTAGTTTGGTAAAAGCAAAAGGATTTCTCATTAATAGTTAATTATTCCAAGCATCAAGTGTTTACTGTGCCAATGTAGACTGTCTTAGAAGACAGTCTTTTTTAGTTTGCTGTGGCCAAAAATGTTTGCCCTGTGGCTGATAAATTCATCACCCTGTAGCTAGCCTGATGATAAGACTCTCCAAACTTAACTAGGTTGGCCTCAGGCAACAGTACATCCCTGGAATCATATTTGAAACCTTTTCAGATTTGTAGTCAGAACTTGCACCAGTTTGGTAAAGCTTTTGAGAAAATGTGGATGTTTTTTAATAAAAAAAAATCACATTTATGTAATATATTCATTACATATTTGTCATGTTTACAATTAATTCTAACTTAACCTTCTGTGTTTTCATTTATTTTTATGTTCCTTTGATTGAAGTTTAGGAAGGAATAAGGTATACTACATTAAAATTTAACACATGAAATTATTACGGGACATACAGGTTCATTTAATGAATTAAGACAAAAACAAATCAAGAATCCTGTGTTATGGAAATGCTTGTTTTGTTCCGTGAACTGAAAATAAAATAAATTTGTAATATAAAAAAAAAAAGAGTTTTTAGCTAGTTAATCATATGGATAATTGCCTCAGCTTTATATTTGTTTTTATGCACAAGTAGGCAACATGGAAGGTCTTTTTAAATTGCTACAGCATATGAAGTCACAGCATATTACCTTCTCCATATTTATCATTGAATAGTTATATATTGGGGTCTATTATTGCTTTACAAGAAAAAAGTCAACTGTTTCAGTAATTATGCTTTATGTCCTTTTTTTCTCCAAATGAAATTTATTTTTCAGTACTTGCATTATTACTATTGTGTTAATAAAATTTTCTTTTAATTTGGCCTCTAAAATTATCCATGATGAAATGTTGTATCTTGAGAACTTTTGGTAGCATAGGAAATTCATTATACATACATAGTTACATGATTTCACCAGAGCCTAGACATCTAAGCCTTCAACAAAGTTTTAAGTGTATATTGGCCTTAAATGAACAGTGGACAATAATGTATTTGTTGACCTACTTACATTCAACCTATGAATTTTATCATAAAAGCATATTCTGAGAAATTCAGAAAATTTAAAACATAGTCTATATATCAAAAGGTAAGCAGTCTTTACATAAAAAAGTTTATTTCTTTTCAATAAAGATTTTTGTATGTATTTCAGAAAGGAGAAAATTGCAATCTACTCTTCCAGTATTGTTAGTATAGGCAATTTACACTCTCATGGACTTGTCCACTTTATAGATCAACTTTTTAGAACACAATATAAATATATTGCACAATAAAAATAAAAATCAGCAATACTCAGCCCATGAGTTGTTAGCTTTTTAATAATCTGTTTGAATGATCCGATTTTAGTTATTTAAGGTTTGTTCAATTCTAGAACAATGATGTAGAAAATTTATTTTAAAAGTTTCTTCTTCATTGAGTATGGAGGATAATGACCACAGTTAGGACTCATTATTACAATTTTAAATGTTTATCATATTAGCTCTACAAATATACTGGTTCTAGCTTTTTTCTTTTTTTATTTTACTAAAAACTTATGAGTTTATTGGTATTTAATTTTTTTCAATCATCAAAATTTACTAGAAACAATCATGGATATTGTACAACAATTTCACTTATCTGGTTTAGGGATAAATTTTTAGGACTTAAAAGGATATAGTGTAATTGGAGCTAAAAAGGTAAGTAAATCCTTAAGAGAACCTATCAGTTTCCAAAAGCAATGAGACATAATATTTTTTAGATGCAGTTTCCAAAGTATTAGTTCATTTAGGTAATTTGTTATATTTTACAAAAAAAGTTTTCCTTTAAAAGTCATCAGGTTACACATGTTCTAATTACTCAGTCACGATGTAACAAATTCAGATTCACTTATTAATAACCAAAATAATTTCATTGCCTAAATTACAAATTATAGTAAGTAGCATTTTCTTTCCCATATTAATTTTCCTTTATACATTCATTAACATGATTTTTGGTTAAGAAGAGTGTTTTAGCAACTATTTTCATTTTTTTTGGCTTTAACTTGTAATGCTCTATAACATTTACCATATTTCCTCAAATATGTTTGAATTTTATTAATTAATTTAGAATGACATAAGTTTTAAAGCTAAAATTTTGAAATAACTAGATCTGAAAAACAATGTTATTGGAATTAATAGAGTTAGTACCTGTTGACACCACATTCGTAGCATGGTTGGAGGCTGGCAGGCATTCAGCAACACTGTGATGCATTATCAGAGGCAGAGTGGCAGAAGATTCAGAATTCAGAGGTACAAAGCTATCAGCTGAACTAAAAGGTTGGCAACTCATCCCAAAAATCAAAGAAAGAAAAGAAAGAATGCTATTTTTTTGGATTAGAACTTTAGGCTTTTATCCTACAAAGTGCTGTCTCAACTCTCTTTACTTGCATATATACATCATAAGTGCTCTGAAGCACACAGAGGGCGTGTGCAGGTATTTATACTGCCTGGAAATCCCTTCTTAAATTTTAATGTTCTTTCTCTAGGTGTATTGGTATAGAAACCCAAAGCCTTCTTCCTTCTTATCCAAACAGAACCCACACCCAATTCAACAGGTAGAGGGAGAGTGGCAGGCTGAGGGAAGAGAGAAACCTGAGACCATAATTGACAGCTTCTATAAGTCAAGTCTTTAGAGAGGAATGTAGTAGTTTAGAAAAAGTAGCCTTGTAGAAGGTCCAACAACAGATAAAAAGGAAACAAACAATGCTAACATTAGATAGGCATTTGTTGCTAACATAATCTCAAATGGAAACATAAGTTATTCTCCTCTTTGAAGAAAACCAAAACTCATAATTCATTCATAAATCTGTAATATATGTATATACATAATATATACATAATATATATGAACATATTGTAAAATGATTTTTGCCTTTCAGAATGAATTTATTTCAACTAGTGAGTCAGTCAATAGATGAGCTATTATCTGCACAAATTTAAAAATGTTAATCTATGATATTCGATATTTGTTTTATTATAATGCTCCAATGTAAAACGGAGCACTTGTATTTCATAGAAACTGGCTCAAAAATTATGAAAAGGGATTGCACTCAATTTCCCTCTTTTTCTTTCTCTTCTTGTCCCTCCCACCTGCCCCTAACTTCCCCTGGATTTGGGTCAAATTCTGTGATGCATATTACCTTGGAAAGGCAGCTGGACCTGAGTTTAATACTGGAATCTTCTCAATCATCAATATTCTCTGGCTCATTGTGACACGAAACATGGTGGATGGAAGAAGTCCTGGGCTCAAATCCTGACTCTGGAACATAGTGACTGCATGACCCTGTGCAAGTCACTTAACTGCTTTGTATTTTCTAGGCAATTCTCTAACACTAAGTTGCAAAGATGCTGATTTGCATTGCTAGAGGCAAAGTTTCCTAAACTAATGAACTCGTGGGTTAAGTTTCTATCTCTGTCCCTATCCTTATGTTTACAACCAATCTAGGCTGAGTCCCTAGAATAGAACAAGGAACAAGTTTTCTATAAAGAACAATGCACGCAGACAGCACTGGTACCAGAAAAGGTTCCCCTCTCATAGGTCCCCCCTTTACCCAGCAAAAGTAACTACAAGCATTCTCAACCTCCATCTGAGGTAGGAAAAGAACACTGACTTGCTAGGGAGTCAGTCAATGGACCGAACCTCAGCTTCCCCAAGGACTTATATGATTGGTCTAGACTGACTATCACCATGGAATTAAAATGTCTTCAAGCAGGGAAAGGACTTAGAATCATTGGAAAGTTTTTCCTTTGGATATTCATGGTCCATATGATTTGGTACCAATGAAGGGCAGGGTCCAGGTATGCTTCTCTGTATTATGATTCTATACATCATGGCTGCTCAGCATTAGCCCTTCCACTAAATGGTGCTTGGATCTTATTCCCTTCAATGGTCTCTGTCTCTTGGACTGTGTCTCTGTCTCTCTCTTTCTCTCTGTCTCTGTCTATCTTTCTGTGTGTCTATGTGTCTGTCTATCTGATCTAGGTGCAGGTCAGCATGGTTGTAAAGGTTCTCACTAACACTTTGTTGCCCTGCTGCACCTCTCCCTCCTCTACTGCTGCCTCCACCACCATTTCTATTTTTGCCATTCACCTCTTACTTTTGCTACTGTCCATCCCTGAGGAAAGTGTTATAGCTCTTTTAAAATGAGACAACTTGGCCAACAGACCTTTGGATATATTCTCTTTTATTAATCAGGCCCACAACTCTACTCTATGTAGAGAAGGTCTTCAGGGGCTAAGAAAACCTATTGACTTTCCTATTTTAAAAAGTAGTTTCCAGTTCTCACTTCTAGCCGGGTTTCAGACACTAGATTCCATTCACCTCTTGCCCTCCTCAGGTTGCATGTAATGTGCCTCCAACAGAGTTATCATCTCCTAATGAGCATTTTTGAGACTGGAGAAAAACATTTGTTCCCTATTCCATTTGTTTTTCTGACTCCTATCATTTCTACCATGCCCATCCTTCCAACTCCCATACACCCTGCTACCAAGCCATTCAAATTACTCTAAACTTAGCCTTGGAAAATCCTGCAAGAAATCACACCAAAGTAGGAAGGACGAAGCTGACCATTCCTGCTGTCAACTCTGACACAATGACCAATACTTATGTTTACTTTGTGTATACTTCAAAGGATCTATTCTCAGTGGGCACTCTACTCGATGTGCAATTTGCAAACTACAGGATTTATTATCCTGTGCAAATTTTCTTTATGTCCTTTCATAAATCCACTCCAGAGCAGGGTAAGGGAAGTCATCCTTACCTGTTGAGGGCTGTCTTCTAGATCTATTGACAGGATATGAGTGCAGCAAGCAGGCTGTCTATAGTTTATCTGTCATTATTACAACACAACCCACTCTTTTTCTGGACATATGTCATTTTGATATCTTTTACACCAATTTTTCACATGGAATTTTTCAATTATAATGACAGTAGCCTATTTAAGCTTGTTATTGTTCATCCGTCATTTTCAAAGAGAACCAATGACATCAAGGCGTGATGCCTTGACATGCTGGTGCAATGGATTTAAGTGAGGCAGAATTGCACAAAGCCCTACTCTCTCTTCCAGAGTCATAAAAGTCAAGATCACTGGCAGTGGCCCAGGATGCAATGATCTTGGTGTCTTTCATGTCTGACTAAGTTCTAAGCCCTCCACAGTGCCTCCTTCAGGCACTTACGTGGCCATTGGAACAAATTGCTCTCCATGGGGGAAATCTTAACACGCTTGGGATAGACATCCCACTAGCTCACTGACAGATTTGAAGCCTGTTGATTACCTTCAACCTGGTTTAGCCTATCTGCCAAGTGCATAGGGTATACAAGGTTCTGGGTGTATGAGATGTTCTGAGAAGACTGGCACCTCTGGCATGAGGGCTTGCTGTACACTTTTCATGGCTGCTCATCTTTGGTATCCACCTGTCACCCAGCTCTCACCTGTGGTTCAAAGAAGCTGTAGCATGCATAGCAACCACACCTCAGTAAAAAAAAAAAGTAAATAAATAAATAAGGCTATTCAAGCTTACAATACTTCTTATATTGGACTTTGAATGATTGGCAATTTTTGATTCTTTAGAGACTATGGTATTCTATGATTCATAGCCATATACCCAGTTGTAAAAATGGCAGCAAAATGCTAGTTATCAATAAAATAGCTAATATTTGCAAGAATGAAAACAGCTCCAGCTCTTTTTTATATTAAACATTTTACACTTTGAAAATAATTTTCTTTTAATAATCTTATAAAGGATTAGCACAAACTTTATTAATTCTCTCTTATTCCCATTTTACAGATGAACATTTTGAGGCTAAGAAGTTAAGTGACTGGTTCAGAGCCATATGACTAGAAAGTAGCAGAATTAGGTTCAAATGCAGGTCTCACAAAAGCAAATTCCATGCTCTTTTCCTTCCACCATTCTCCAGGCAATAAAAACACATCATTTAGTGGAAAAAAATGACTAAAAAACAAATACGAATGAAATATGTAATAACTGATCATTTCAACAAGGTACTTGAAAAGCCAGATTTCAGAACACATTATCCATAAAATATAACATATATAAGAACCACCAACATGGAATTCAATTTATTAGAAATAGGGAAGTCTATGCTTCAACTTCTGGCATTTTTTATTTTCTGTGGGTTCCCAAAATACTTTTGAAGGGCTTCACTGGCTTTCACCAAATATGATACAGTACAAAAGGGTGTGAAGATTGAAATTTGGATTAAACAGATCTTAAGTCTTATTTATGGATCAGTCTATCTTCAAGTCAAATGCTAGCTAGTAAAAACTTTTCAAATGAGCCTTTTGGAAATTTGAAATTGCCTAAAGCTTCAGTGAGTTGTAGTGTGTAGTTAGAAGTTATAGAAAGAAGTAATGTGCAATGAATACTACAGTTTACAGAGCCACTAGGAGAATAAGAAGACTTTGATACTTCAGTCATCCATGATGTCACCAATTGTGAGTGCATTCTCCATTGGTGCAGGCTGCAACTTACTCATATCTTATAATTTTGCATAATTCTTGTTAATTTCTTCTCATAAACTTTAGAAAATTTGCCCAAAGTGCCCTATATGTCTTTTTACAGTCTATGGCATCCACTGCACCATTCATGGTACCCATCCATTGTTGTTCCTTCTTGATATATGACTGATTTACCTCATTTTCTGATCATATTTTTCCTGGGAGATATTTTTTATTCTACTTCTTACATGCAAATCACCACTGGTAATATGCATCAGCCTTTTTATTCCTATCATACATCTTTCTATTGCCCTTTGGGGCATCTGCAATTTTGGTTCTCCAGAAATTGTGTAGTTAGCTATAGAGCAACACCAGGAAAATATTTGTGTTAAAATATGCTTATTGATTTTGTTTTGCTTTGTTTTATTTTGGTGTCAGAGAATAGTTCAGGACTATGGAAAGCACTGTACATTTTCCCAAATGCAATACAACCTGCTCTCTTCCTGTATATGGAGAGTCTTGAATATAATTTTAAAAAATGCCATTCAATTATGTGCCTAGCTCATTGTCCTTTTTCAATGCCTTTCCCAGAAATATGTATTGATAGACTAACTCAATGGGTTGCCAACTACAGATTATATTCTATACAATAGACCACCTTCTTCCACTGTTGTTATTCTCGTTGTTTTTCTGGGTGCATTGTAAGAACAGTCTTTTTTCAGTGTTCATGAATTTCACTGTGCAAGTCCTCAATACTCTGGAACTTGATGCAGTCAGCAAAATGTCTTCTAAAAGATGAACATCTGGAGGGTTTTGCCTTCTCTAGGAAACT